TGTTTTTCTTTCTTTCTTTCTTTCTTTTTATTAATTGGGTTACTGTAGAAACAAGAAGATGTGTATTAGTCGGGCGTGGTCTATGGTTTGTGTGTCCAGACTTTGAATCTGATGATTCATGGTTTGCATTCCGTTGCCGCAAAAAAAAAAGTGCTTCAGAATTTATGGGCCGTTGTTGTGCTTTTAAGAGTGACGTTCAAATCCCACCATTCGGCGCTTCCCAGTGGCATAGCAATATGTCTGCGGAGTTATAACGCTATAAATTGGGTTTCGATACATGTGGTGGGCAGAGCACAGATCGTCCATTATGTAACTTTGTGCTTAACTACAAACAAACAAAGAAACCCATCATACGGTAAGACAAAAGTAACCCAAGACTGTAGCAGTTCGAAATTAGGGAAGGCTATGAGTGGATAATCCTTGTTTAACTTTGCGCAAAATATTTTCAAATAAACAAATCAAATTTATATTTGTAACTTTATATATTTTTAAACTATTTAAGCTTATGCATTAAAACATTTGTGGAAAATTGTGTGTATGCTGAGAAATAGGTCTAAAGCTTAAAATATTTTGTTTTTATTTCATGAATTATATCGTATGCTTACTTTAAAAAAGTTGAAATATTAAATTTACAACTCCAATTGGCGCTAAACAATCGTCAAACCCAATAATGTTTAGGATATGCTAAGATTGATAAATCTGGAAAATGCGTATGAAATAAAAGTTTTCGCACTACGGACTGTTTTGAAAAAATAAGAGTCAAATGTACTATGAGTAAGTTACTGCTTAAAAAAACAACAACAACAAAATCTCCAAGACATTCACAAGAAGAGCTTGAATGAGTGCATATGACAAATTAAAAACAAAACGAATGCATGTATATTTACCATTGTCGGTCGATCATGTATCGCTGTTTACTAAGTACATTTGTTTGTTTAGATATCTTCATTAAATATGAGCGGTGAGTATGGGGACATCTAATCCTAAAAATCGGTTTTCGATACCCGCGGTGGGCAGAGCACACATAGCCCATTGTGTAGCTTCGTGCTTAACAACAAACATATCAGTATTTAACTCGGCAACAGTATATTATTAAACATGAGTGATAGTCAAAGGTAGTTTAAATCTGTATTTTCCTCACTCTTACTTTTTCTGAATGTTATTATGTTCTGCAGTTTATGGTTTTATGTTGCGAGCTAGATAATGTCTTTCCCCAACAGAAACAGAAACTCTTCTTCCACTCTCACGCACGTGAAATTAGTGCCCGAAATGTACATAATGATAAAATGCTTTCGCGCACGCAAGAGATTGCAGTTAACAGTCGCAGTTAACTTGTATCTTTGCCGATCAAAGATATAAAACTACTGTGTCTAACAGTTAAGGTAACTTATAATGCGCATATTAATTTAAATTTTACCATCAGATGTACTTTTCTAACACATTAACAAACAACTAAAAATTAAAACAATTCCCATTGTCATAACTTCTTAAGTACTTTGGCCAGGTGGTTAGGGTGCTCGACTCGCAATCTGAGGGTCGCGGGTTCGAATCCCCGTTCCATCAAACATGCTTTCCCTTTCAGCCGTGGGGGCGTTATTATGTGACGGTCAATCCCACTTTTCGTTGATAAAAGTGTAGCCCAAGACTAGCTGCCTTTCCTCTAGTCTTACACTGCTAAATTAGGGACGGTTAGCGCAGATAGCTCTCGTGTAGCTTTGCGCGAAAGTAAAAAACAAAACAAACAAGAATTTTCATTAAATCCGAATGCATCATATACTTCTAGTATATTGAAACTAAAATAGCTTATTAGAAGGCTTGTATAATATCATGGCCTTAGATCATTTCCATTTCGGACTTACCTAAGAGAACCCCAACAGGATGTCTCCACGAACTACAGTATTCGTTCTTTATGTTACTATGTGAATATACATATTAAAACTCTAGTTAAAATCGACACACTGAAATGTTAACTTACTGAGCGGCTGTGCCTCGCCCATGTCGACTGCCTCGTCTGCTTTAGAGGGTGAAATATTTGCAGTTGGAATTTTGGCCGTTTTTCAGGAACTTGGTGAAATAAGATAATTTACAAGTCTCACACTTTTGGTAACCGGTCTTGTCCCCTTAGCACCAATAACAGATAATGAAGGATATTATATGTTGTACTGTATAATTAGTTGTGTAACCCCTGTGGGCGATCCGCTCAAAAAAACACACACACACAAGATCCTATAGAATATTACTTATATGTAGAAGCGATCTCGTACGTTTCACCTTTCAGTCCCCTTGTGTTTAACTTACTCTTCACGCCTTTAACACTCCTGCTAAACTCTAGCATGCACACACATCATGTGGGATAACCAGCACGCGCTCTCTTTGAGTTCGGCGTCAAAACGGCGCGAGGTCGCAACGGCCACTGTTGGCTGCTCGCGCTAAAAGTTTCTCCCAATCTTTAACATGTCTGACACCTCCTTGCACACGCTTATTGGCCAAAAACCTATCACTCACAAGATCACGTGATAATAAATATTTCAACAGACCGGAGCTTGTTGAATTACGCTCCATATATATATATATATATATATATACATGTGTGTGTGTATAAAATAAGTATCACAACCATGCGCAATGGTAGATAATTTCTGCTTTACTGGTGTAAAAGTGGTATATCAACTTTTATAGCTCTAAAATATTTTTTTACTGTCAAAAACTGTTTTGAAACTTAAATCAACGTATGCATTGAGTGTAGATCGTTGTTTGTTTTTTATATTTACACATTTTTGCTGCAAAATATTAAAAACTAAAAAATATGCAATATCAATGTTTTGAGGTGAATCATTCTTTCAAATTGCAATGATTGTTCCGATTGCCCTTCTTTTCTGGAAAGAATTAACACACTGCTCTTATTGTTGTTTGTATCTATGCTAGTTCTATAAAGTTCGGTCAGGAAAATAGTAGAATATCTCTGGTGAACTTCGTTCAGTAGGGTGAGGATCTCGAATGGTTACAGTTGAGTAATATTGATGGATAATTATCGTGGACAAGGGATTATTCTCTAATGGAGATTTTCACTGCTTAGTCGTTCTCATATTTGTTGCTTATGTTTAGCCTACTACGATATTGATCTTTGAAGAACACTCTTCAGTTTTGTTCTTAATTGTCTATCGAAACACTTTTTCTCCTCTGTCTTTCATCAGTAAGACCTCAGACGCTGCAATTGAAAGTAATCCTATCTGTTTTAAACATACACACACAAAAAATAGGTAAATGCTAGCTGATTTCTTGGCAACTGTCATTATGCATCAACGTCGATTTTAACCACGTGTACGTTTCCATGTCTTGATTATAAATTATTGGATGAAGAAAATTTTAGCACGTAATAAACTGGTAAATGAAGAAATTAGATAGATATAAAAGCGACAAAACATGTGGCAAGACGTAAGCTGACAAGAATTTTAGGGATGTTTACTCGATAGTTATTATTTTTTATATAAGTAGTTAGTAATTTTAAGAGTTTCCATATGCTTTTCTCTTTTAACTTATAGAGAAATAATATTATTTTTTTGCGAACACAATCCTCTCCTCTAAGCTACAATTTGTGTGGTTTCGTTGTGTTAATAAAGTCGTGCGCATATATTAAACTGACAGTACCTAATATTGGAATTCGACTCACTTTTTAACTAAATTTAGTAAGAAATTTTGCGAAATAATATTTGAATTCAACTATTTATCGAAACAAATGTTTAGCTTGGTTTGATTATTTGTAAATGATGAATTAATTGTGTATGAAAACAAAAACGAAATTTCAAAGTATGTTATATATATATAGATAAACATTCATAACAAAAACTTCCATTTACCAATATGATTCAATGCCTATATTTATAGCAACGTATTTTTTATAAATAGTATGACCAAAAGTGGTGACATACGTATATTTTGAATTTAGTGTACGCTATTACAGATACTCTTCGAAAGTTTGCGAGGAATCCAACAGTAAAAAAGAAAAGAAAACTTTTGTTGGTCGTTCTAATATAAGTTTGCAGAACACGTTGAAAGAATAAAACAATTTGATAACGCTATAAAATAAAACGTCAGGTATGTATAGTTTCGTTTGTATTGGTATGAAGAGGCACTCCTAGTAATTTATAAATGGCTTTGAGGAATATAAGAAACATAGAAAACCTCGGCGAGTCTTACTGTTAGAATTCAGTGTCTTATCAATGAAAATATGTTTGGTGTTCCTACTAGCCTTCTGTTAATTGTCTTGACACTAGGCTCTAGCAAGTATCTCAGATATAATGGAAGGACCTTTTGTAACGAAAGTCACCATGGTGACAAGCCTTTTTGTGTTTTTGATAAGGGGCAATATGTAGATTCAATGGTATAAAATCGCCTTTCAAGCTCATGTATGATTATATTAACTGCTCTTTTTTTTTAAAGTGTATTATAACGAAAGGTAATGTACAGTTAAGTCGTCCTGCATTCGAAGTAATTATTTCTCATGGAACTCAGCACGAGGCAAGATCAAAATTTGCCAGATAATTGAGACAAAAGTCAAATGAAACAATAGTTCGATTATATATGCAATAATAATAACACAGGCAAAGCTATTAAAGGATAAAAATCAATTTTTAAACTCTATTCGTATTTCTAGAAACCGAACGTGGTCTAGTGATTAGCCTGCTCTGCACTTTGGGGCAGTGGGTAAGCTATAAGAGTTATGATCAAATTCCACTGTTCGCTTAGAGTTGGCAGTTGGTGCTGATGACTTGCCTCATCTCTAGTGTATCAGTTCAAAATAACGGACACTTATACCCAAAATAGCCACTGGAGTGGCTTTCTACAAAAACTTCTAAGACAAAAAGATCGTATTTCTTCTTTGCAAAAACTCAGAAAATAAGCACTTGAAATGTGATGAATTAATTTAACAGTATTAAAAATGTAGTACTATCTGCAAGATTTGATAGTGCGTTTTTACAGTATTGAAATATTTTCGTTTGCTGTATATGCTTTAGGTAAAAAAAGACGAGAGAATCAAGGAAATTTGGAAAAAAAGAAGCTTAGGTTGTGAAACTATATTACTTGTATCATGCATTATTGCAACTGATCTAATAGTTTGAGAAGTTTTAATTAGTAAACGCTTACACTATCAAGCTTATATTTTAATGACTGTTTTGTTTATTGGGTTAAAGAAATTTCATTTACACTGTTTCAGAATCTAAGTTGAAATTGAATATTCAATGCATTTGTGAAAAGATAGGAAAAAAAGATGGCGACATCTGCGTACTTAACCCTGCCTAATATCAGGTTACGGTTTTCCCAGTTTATTAATATGTTTCACTGATCAAGTCTAAATAAACCAACCATTATTTGAAAAATTAGAAAATAATTCAATTATTAGTATCAGAATATAGAGAACAAAATATATTACATTGAATTTTTAGACAATAAAAGCTCGCCAAAGATCATATCAGTTTATGAGTTGACGGCAACGGTTCTATTCGGTGTAGGACAAACAAAAACAGAGTTTGTTTTTCAAATGTCTTCAAAGGAAATAGAGGATGAAATTAGTACCAGTCCTAGTTTAGCCAGTGTTCTTGTCTAGCACATTGGACGCCAACTGTTACCCCCAACCAAGACATAGCAGTCATTTCATGGCGAATTATCGTCGTGTAAGATACACACTTCAGTACTGACTACAGGTGATTCCCAACGGGGCCACTCTTCCTATGGTTCTTATCGAAAAGGGGAATCTTGTCTTTCAAAGTCAGGGGGAAGGGCAGTCTTCTCCAATGCGGCAACCCACTAGGTATTTGCCCCACCCCGAAAGCCAGCAAACGCTTCTAAAGAAACCTCAGGAAAACTTAGGTTGTAGGCGTTTTATTGGTAGTTCAGAATGAATTGCGGACGAAACCACTGGTTATTGGAAGATCTATGTCCCTATTCCGACATCTTCCTGTGGCATTTGACATTTTGTAAAGTAATGACTTTGGAGCAATTTGTCACCACTATAAAGTCGTCCTTGAAAATAATCTGAAAACTTTGAAGAAGCTCCCAATCGTTCAAATGAATACCGACCTTTAAATCAAAACTGACAAGGTTATGCCCCCCCCCCCCCAAGTGGTATTACCCTTTATGCATTTTTGGCTGATATTACCTGAAAATAATATCTTAAAGTTGTATATGGGTGATCAAGAAGGGCCTACGACCCTCCTATTTTTTGTAGCTATAATAATTGAGCCTAGCTTAAAGTCAACTCATATAATTGTTTTTTCATATAATTTTACATTTGAAAATATAAAATCAAACTGTCTTAAAATTCGATTTTTTTATTTAGGGAGTTTGTAGGCATTTCTGAGCTTCATTTATTCAATTAAATACGACTGTTATTTTGAAAATAGAATAAAAATGTGGTGAAATATTATTAAATAATATCAAAAAATTACTCATTTAAAAATATCATTTATATCTTTTCGTTATATACCGAGATATATTCAAAATATCGCATTTTACCAGTCATGACCATTTGTATTGTAACATACTAATGATTGCAATCATGCGTATAGCAAGCGTAGTAACAGCCATAAACACGAGTGTTGTGCCATACAAAGAGTCATAAAAATATATATTATAACATGCGTGTAACAGCACATCAATAGTCATAAACACGTATTTTGTGTTATACCAAAAATCATAAGAACGTGAGGTATAACCTACCAACTGTTTATAATCATGCTTATAGGAGTATACCCATACTTAAAAATCGTATGTGTTGCACCATATCAAAAGTCATAATAATATGTATTGTAGCAAACAAACACTCATGGATATAATGCGTATGGCATTATATCCATTCGTTTGAGAAATTATATTGAAAATGATATAAATTTATATAGAATATAAATTTTAAAGGCACAGTGTTTTTACGTAAAGAAAATATTTACTATTGTCTTCGTAAAAACACAGTGCCTTTAAAATTTATTGATTATGTATATATATATATATACTTAGGAACATTCAAAACATCTAATCTCTCTATACATATGAGAGAGAAGAACAAAGAAAGAGTGCCTTTTTCAAACGATTTTAACACAGTGCATCTGAAAAAAAACTTTCTTTTTACCCTTCTCTTTCACCAGAGGACGCAGTAGTCAGCCAAGCACAATCTTGCGCTACCTAAAGTTCAATATTATAATTATCGAGTGAAACATTTCTTGTAATTCATTATGCAATTTTCAATCCAGTTACGTGAAACGCGATTAATATTATATAAGATTTTCCTTGGGCGTTTGAGAGAGGTTTTTACGAACATACAGGTGACAAGTTCTTGGTTAACACAGAAGTCTGTGAAAAACCACGTTCAGTTCTGCCATGTCGTCTT